CCGCCGAACCGACGCACGACGAGTCTTGCTGTCTTCGGGCAGGGGCGGGCGACTGGGCGCCCGTGCCGTTGGGCGCGGGCAACGACCACGAGAAGACGCGCGCCCCGGGCTAGAGGCGCGATAGCGGGCTGGAGCGGGGCCGGAACACCGTCGTCCGCAAGACGGCGTCCGCGGCAGCGGCCGACGAGCAGGCGCGAGGGGGAGGCCGTTGGGAGCGGTTTCTGCTTCAGTCGACCACCCCTGGCGCGCGAGGGGCGCTTCGCTCTTCTTTTGCCGCGGAAAACCAAGCGGAAATGGGGATTGGGGAATCGGGGGAATGGGCATCCTCTCTTTCTTTTTCTTTTTTTGGCCGGCGGCGGCGGCGGTCGCGGCGGCGCGGACGGCGGGCGCTGACCGCCCCTTGCGCAAGCGACGGAGACTGGCAGCGGAGGCCGCTGCGGTGGCGGCGGCGGCGGCGGCGGCGGTCGAAGAGGACGCCGTTCACAAGCGCAAGTCCGTCCCTGTATAACCTCAGCCGACCCCTCCGGCTGCCAATTTATGTTCCCACGTGACCTTCTGGCCTCCGGGCGCGCGCACTCGCTGTACCACAGTCGTCAAATACACTTATCTGTTCTGTTCTTTACGCGAGTTTTATTATGACCTTTCCTCTTCTTTATCCCTCCTTGCTCCGTGATATTGTCGTCTTTCTGGTAGAATTGAACGTTTAATTGAGAATTGACAGACTCTAAAGTCAATTTCTAAGAAGTTTCTAAGAATATCGCTCCAAATACTCCTTTTTAGGTAGTGTAATGTCTATTTAGTTGTATGGAAAACATCTGTAGATCATACTCAACTTTGTTCCTGTATACACCGAAGTTCTCTGTACAAGATGAGAATACACGCAAGTCACATAATTTAATAATCATGTAGTGTAGTATACTATTTTAATTTCTTAAAAATTACAAAAGTTAGAGGCAGTAATAATCTGTGGCAAATCTTATTGTGTAAATACATTTAAATATTTTTTTATTCCCCATAGATTGTCGCCATATCTTTATTTTATATGTACAAAACCTAAGTAAATAAGCTCTTTCCTAAATTTTATTTATTAAGCTGTCAAAAATATTAAGGTCTTTGAAGAGTAAAATCTCATATATTGTTTCAAGTATAATTTGTTAAAAATATATTATATCATCAGCAGTTATACTTTCAACAGAGGCATTTCATACTGATACTTGATATTTGCTGTGAAAATGTTGGTTTATTTTTACAGAGTTTCACTGGTTTCTACCAGCAATTTGAGTTCAGCAAGTTACCAGCAAGTTCTTCTCATTTTTGATGAAAAAATGTTTTTATCTTAACAATAAATATGATCAATCATCTTTAGTCTCTCGAATAGTTATCAATCATACAATCGTATATAATTTGTAATTGTTAATATTAAATTTTTAATTTATGCAAATTCAATATTACATTTTATTTATATTTTTATTTCGTTCATGGATTATAGACTGACAAAGTTGTAAACTAAAGCAGGTTATTCATGTTCAAAAATAAATCATGAATCGTGTACATTTAAAATATGCATATTAACACGTCTTGGAAGTTTCAAGGAATATTTCTTCATTATCAGGCTAAAAAACAATGAAATACAGGTATACAATAAAAAATTTAGACTTAACTCAAGAAAAACTATTAGGTATTATTTATGTGTTAAACATGAATTAATCACAAATAAACATTAATACCATAATTATAAAAAACTCAATATAAGAAGTATGGTGACCTACTAATAAACAGAACAGTCAAAACAACACAAAAAATTCAAATCTTGTGATATCTTATGTGTATTGAAATGAGCAAAAACATGATAATGGAAACAGCCATGTTGTTACAGTTGGCAACACTAACTGTCACTAACTTGTTATGTGATCGTATTCTAAAATTTTCAATACAAAGTGTTCTTGCATGCGCTTTCAATGAAAGGCTTGCGTTAGTTGAACGTTGCAAATTTTGATATTTAAATCTTTCTCGTACTTCTTCAACATTCTCTTTTGATGTTTCTGTAGAAGATAAATATTTACAACAATTCGAAAATATTGATGGCACTATATTATCTTTTAATTTTGCTTTTTCTAGTGATGCTTGGAGCTTCATCATAGCACACAAGAGCCCTCTGTGCGAAATGGGCTTCGGAAACCTACAAAAACGTAATGAATGTTGGAAATAATGACGATTTTTAAAACATTTTCGTTAACAATTCGTAATACTGTTATTAATCCCAAGAGTATTTAACCTTTAAACCCTTTAAAACTGCCCACTGTTATATTATATCATGGGCGGGATTATAACACCAGCCCACCGGCCACACGATTTCCCGTCTTATTGGTTTTTATCAGTTCTGGTACGCAATTCTACTTCCCCTAATCATCTGACTGTTAATCCTTATCAAACCTGGTTCCACATTCAGCGGCCACACTCAGTCCGCTGTATGAGTATTTAATAACATCACTTAGTAAACCTTAATCATTCCTCTTTTCCTGGCTTTCATCGCATTTTCAGCGTGTGTTGTAATAAGTAAAATAATCAAATATAACCTCATAACAATGGATCACGCTCAGATTTAATCTTAAAATGCATTTATATAATGCAAAAACAACCTTTAAAACTGAACGTGAGTGTGGGGGAATATAGGTACATTTACGTTCTAGTCGCAAAACAAGGGATCGAATCAGCAATTGCTCAAAAAGTCAAGAGAAACTGGACGAAACTTGTTCGATTGATAATGAAGCATTTGGCTGTTCACTAGTCATAAATGACATTTGTGTACAATAATATTCAACCCTAGTCATTTATTTTAAATTATTTTCATATTATTGCTTTGAAATCAATAAAAAACATTCATTGGAACGCTGATTTGGTAGAAATTTGTTGAATTGTTTTGGAGCATGTCCATTTCTTTCATAGCAAAACACGGATGCTCAGTACCCCGTCCGGTGTACAGTAATAATTTAAATATGAAGTTGTCGATAATTGCGGCGCAGAATGAAGGTCTAACACCATCATAGCATAAACTAAGATGGCTGTCGTACATCGTCATAGACAGCCTACATCGCTGCCACCGTGATAGAAGGCCTATGCAAGTGATCGTGACGTCACTACGGGTGGTTACAACTCTTCTTGCACTTTTCTCGTGCTTGACAAGCGAATTTCCATCTATCTTATACAAAACAATAAAATTACACAACTCTTTGCCAACAACAATATTTTGCAGTGAAATTATTTAAAACACCTAAGAAGGTGTAATTTTGAATGGAAAATATTATTTCACTGACCATATTGTGAATATGTGAAAGCATATATTAGTAAAGAAAAAGGCTCATCAAGAACAAACCCATCAATTATCATAATTTATATAGTTCTAACTAGAATAATAATGTATAACAATTTACATTCACAAAGTTCAGATTTTAAATGGTAATTTGCTGCAATGTATGTCAACTATGAATAAATACATATCCATTTCATAATTTAATAATAATAACAATAATAATAAAAAAATAATAATGTAATTCATACTATCGTCTCCTATATTATTTCAGTAGTACACATTCCTTTTGCGACTCTCACACACAACTAATCTTTATAAATGAGGTCTCTAAAGAAAGGGAATTTCACGGAGACGTGACGAATTGCACTCTTCTATAGTTGCGGTATTAAGTGTGTGTATATATATATATATATATATATATATATATATATATATATATATATTATATAAAGATACTTAATACTGATGAAGTTTGTTTCTTATGCGTATAGTGCAACCATTGATTTAGCTTTTTGCCCTGGTCTACAAGTTGTGTGTACGTAATTGTGAAGAGAATTACGGTGGAAACGGACCACATGTCCTCAAGTTTCAGTTTCACAAAAGCCTTCGAAAAAAATAGTTTATCTGCCTTCACCGTTAGGATTCCGACGCAACGAACGATGTATTGGCATTCTTGTTTCTGTGACAAATTTGTGACATAACCTACATTACTCATGCCCTTGATACAGTACCACACCATATGTATCTACTAAACACTAATCGTTCATATTATTCAAAATCTATTTGCCTGTTTTATAGTTCACCCCTCAAATTTCCAACTGCTGATTAAAGTCAATAGACGTTTATGGACAAAACAGTACAAAAAGGGAAATTATTTTTC